ATCTCCGGCCTTGTCAGGTATTGAACAATCAATAAATAAAGAACACATAATTATTAAATATAAAACACAGAATTTGTGTGATTATACTAAATGATTTACAAATGAACACCACTGCATATTTACAACTGTTACACATGCTGATGTAACGCAAATGTTTCCAACTTGGGATCAATAAAGTATATCTTATCTTAAGATGATCGATGGCTATACTGCCATATTTGCAAAATGTGCGTCTGAACCTTGACAAGTGCATGTTTCAGGCTTATCAATTAATGTAATGTAATGTAATATAATGTAATGTAATGTTATCAATTAACAACAGGTGGGTATATATATTAATGCTGCCCATTATGGGCACAAGCAATTTTCACCCATTTATTAATTATATGTTTTAAATTTGAGTGTTTCCTATCCCCTAAACCTCCAGGGATGTACACAGTATACTGGCAACTTCTTATTATGGGCAGTGTTGGGTGTAACGCGTTACAAAAGTAACGGAGTTACAGTAATATATTACTGTAACTCCGTTACTTTTGTAACGCGTTACACCCAACACTGCTGGTGAATGTCAGCAGCTTCTATGTTTTGATAAAATGTCTTATGAGACTACAAAACACCATCATGCCGAAAATTTGCCACCCTTAGATTAGCGGAGGTGACGTAAAGTCATGTGACCTTGCTGTAGTTTGTTTAAAGCCTAATGTTAGCTTTTAACTTCTGCCGATTGCAGTTACTCTTCAAAAATCATAAAAGTGGTTCTAATATGTGGAGATGATCCTGCTGAACAAAAGATGTATGTATGATAAACGTGTTTTCGCCAGAGCTTATTTTCTGCAATAATCCAAAATCTGTGGTAAAATCTCATTGGCTTTGTGTCAAGGAGATGCTTCAAACGTTGAGGTCGGCCAACAGAAACACGTCATCCCTGCACCACTCTATTACATACTTACAATAACAATGGTTAAATGTAACCTGTCATTTGTTTCTAAATGTCTCTTACATGTTTTCATGTGCAGCCTTCATGGCCTTGGCGGCGTAGCCCATGTTCTTGAGCACTTCTGTGTTGGTGTTGGCGTTCTCTAGTGCTTCCCTCTGGAACTCGATGGTGGACAGCGTGCCATCGATCTGACCCAGCTGCTGCTCGTAACGCTTTTTCCTTTTCAAGGCCTGTAGAGCCGCTGCACAGAAACAGATACAAAGTTAGTTGAGGAGAACATTTCTTATTGAAGCGGCTACAGAAACCTAATCTTGTTTCAAATTCCTGCTAATGCTGTCACAGTAAAACAGAAATTGGGGAATCACTTTTAGAAGGCCCAGAGGTAGGGATTAAAATGCGATGCTTCAGAGGAAGAAATCAGAAACGGATAGAAATAAAATAAGGATACAATTGTAACAACCCCTTGGCAAACAGAAAAGTATAGAAATATATCATACTGTTCTTTAATTGTCTCCTTAATGTTGTAATATAATGCTTATGAACATGCATTGCAACCTTACTTAATTTATTTAATTGTATTTCATTCTTAATTATTATTATATTATTTTATTTAAAAATAGTAGTAGTAGTAAGCTTTTAGATTTTTTCTCAGTTTGTTTTGTTTATTTAAAAAAAGCTATTTGGCCTTAAGAGAAACATCCAAGTCCAAAAGTCTAAGAACGAGACGGAAACAAACAGAGGATTCAGTAGCACTATACCTCAGGTCGAGCTGAGGAGAGTGATAACAGCTCAAGTAGACAGGAACTTTGGGACCTTTGGTAAGTCATGAGCAGAAGAGGAAGGCTGGAAGGCTGCGCTGCTGTGAGATGTTGAAATAAAGTGTTTGACTTAATGAAACAGGACTCTGATAATCGGATAAAATCCTGTCTGAGCCAAATCTCTGTCAGTGTGACGTCAGTGTGACCTCAGGCTGTTTCGAGTTGTCCTCTCACTATTGCTTCCTGACAAGACCTGCATTTCCTCCAGCTCACAGTATTAACTTAGAATAACCGGGATGATATATTTGGAAAAACGTATTTGGAGACAACCGTTGGAGTTCCCCCTGATCTCAGACTGGGGTCGGTTGATAACAAAAAAGTGATATTTGAAGTTTGTTTAAGCCATTTGAAGGATAAAGATGACAAACATTCACTGGTTCCATCTTCTTAAACATGCCATTCTTTTATTTGAAGTAGGGCTGCACGATATTGGAAAAAACTGACATTGCGATTTCTTTCCCCCTGCGATATATATTGCGATATGAAAAAATACAGGAATTGAAGAAAAGACCGTTTTTTTTTGTCCGCAAACCATCCTTTCTTGAACTTTAATGCTATACAATTGGTATTTTTTTTAACAATATTTAACCGGATGAAGGATTTTAGTCACGGACGTCTGGATCTAAAAGGGAACCTATCATGCAAAATGCACTTTTGTACATCTTTTATACATGAATATGTGTCCCTGGTGTGTCAGGGAACTCACCAAGTGTCAGAAAACACAACCTTCTCTCTTTTCCTCCATACCCAAATCTCTAAAAACGGGGCTGCAACGGATCTGATACAGATTTGAAATATCTGTGATGTCAGAAACAAGGAGCTCCGCCTATATGGGCAACTCTCCACCTATCAAGGGAAAGAGAGGTTGCCGTGGCATGGTGACAGCATGGTAGCATGATGCTCGTGCCTCGCCCCCCTCCTTTGCAGGGGGGCGTGGTCAGCTGCAGCTCATTTGCCACAGAATCAGCCCTTGTGAAGACAGTGCTGGAATACAGCAAATAGAGCGAAATGAGGCATGGCTAAAATGCATGATCTGTTAGGTATTTTGAAAAAAAAGCTTCACAGACATGTTTTATATAGGTATGGCCCTACAATATATTATTCAAATACACTTTAAGTCATCAGAGCAACAAGCTGAGCTAGCTCGGTTAGCAGCGCCGAACTGCCTTTGAGAAACACATGAAACTACTTTATTCAGTGTTTTTACCTTTAGACCCCGTTTACACGAGGACGATACGGGTTGTCTCCGCATAGTTTCTCTTGCGTCTAGCCCCTTCGTTTACACGAGGCTGTAACAAAACAATAGAAACGGACCCCGCAAACGATAACGGGTCCCAAGGTGGAAAATCGTTATCAATTTGTTTTAAAGCTCAATAAATAACAAAGAAGACTTCTGACCAGCACTTTTCTAATTTTGTCCGGAAGATTTAAACTTTAACATGTTGACCGGCACATTTTTTTTTTTAACGGAAACTCTGCTGCACGGTTTTCTCGTCCCTTGGAAGAGGCGGAGAGGTGGGTGTTTTCCATCTGCTGGTGGACTACCGGAGAGATTTACAGCAGGGGCACACGCCGTCCACCGCGGAAAATAAACAGAAGGGCAACCATGGCAACCATGCTCCGGGGTCTTCTTCGCTGCTTTTGGTGTATTTTGTGGCGGCAGCAGCGCTTTCCAAAAAGTCCTCCGTTCACACGCATTCGATTCATTTAACGTGTCCGTTCACACGAGACCGCTGGAAACGCTGTAGTACATATGCCGGGCCTGTAAGTGGCGCTGCTGCCGCCACAAAATACACCAAAAGCAGCGAAGAAGACCCCGGAGCATGGTTGCCATGGTTGCCCTTCTGTTTATTTTCCGCGGTGGACGGCGTNTAGTAAGGAAAACGTACGATTCATCGGTACACGAAAGACCCCGACTAGAAATATTCATTTGGCTAAATTTGGCCATTTTCAAGTAGTAAGTTTTATTCTTCAGGGCTAGAAGAATGATAGTTTTATTTTCACGTTTTGCTTTTTGAAATGCTTATTCCTTTCTTATAACCGGTAATGTTATATTAGTGAAGAGATTTTCCGATTGAGAAAAATTTATATCACAATAAATATTATTATTATTATTATTATTATTATTATTATTTTATAATCATATTCGCCAAATATTCATAACAATATCACACCACTAACCTATAGAGTGGGTGCCTAGATACCCAACCCCCATAATAAGGCGTGCTTGTAAAATCACTCGGCCTAAGGACAAAGGCGGCAAGAAGCGAAGTGCAGGTACTCAACCAAATGTACGACACAAGGCTTACGATTTATTTTCAGGATCGAACATCGAAGCTATGGGGGCGGAGGCTGAGGGTAGAGAGCCGTGGTGCTTATCGTGGATAATGTTTTTAACAACGGTTTGACCGAAGTGTCGTAACATTTAATCTGTCTAAATTAATATTGGTACTTCCACTTTTCGTTACATCTGCTCGCGATGTAAAGTTGTGTATGATAGGGGCTTCCAATTATGTACTTCTGAACAAAAAGACTGAACCTGAGAAAGAATCCACTGAGTCTGAACCTGAGCTTTGTGTCCGGTTACCTACTGAGCCTGAGCTGAGCCTGTGAGGAACCCACTGAGCCTGAACCTGAGCTGATGCTGAGAGTGGATCACTGAGCCTGAACCTGAGCTTCTCACCACTGAGCTCCACCTGAACCCTGATGTTGTGACTAAACCCAGTGTATATCTGGACATAGTGACATACACCGACGAACGGGTGATTCCTCGGTCGTCGTCGTCAATCAAACAATAGCATAATGAGTCGTGGCCCCCCGGCGAGAAAAAGACCTGACTATTGTTATAATGGATGTACGTGTGTTTAGTATAATTAAGCCTACGTCTCGACGTGAGTCGGACGTGTGAATCTAAAATCCAAATCAAGACACTGGGAAACCAAAAAGCGACAAGACCGGTGGAAGCAAAATCGAAAGGGATACACCAATTTCCTCATCCCGACGTGTTATACTTCTTTACACGTTATACACTAGTCAATAATGATAATGACCACTATTTTAATTGTCTATAAGTTCAGATGGCAAAGACGAAAAGACGAGCGAAGGCATATTTACGAGTTTGTATAACGAAAACCTTTTTAATATTAATAAAACCTATACTTCGGGGTATACAGTAAATTTTTACTGTTATATTCAACCTTTTTCTTCCCTTTTTCTTTTTTAGTTTTACAAAAATATATGCATGCCAGTATTTTCGCTTTATGATATAAGCTTTCGATCTGTATTCCAACAGTATTTTGACCTTTAGTAAAGAAGGTAGGCTTAACGTCATAAGTAACGATTCAACTGTAACCGTTTGTGCTAAAATTTCTTGATAATATGACACGTCAGGAGTTCATTATATCAATAACATTGTAGATTCGAAGTAGTACAGCACTTATTAACTTAGGTAATTGACCTATAAGACCACAGTAAACTTGATCTCTTCCCCGGTCACGAGGCTGTCCATTGCCAACGGTCCAAGGGTAACCGTGTGTAAGTTAAGTAGCCATGTGCTTTCGTGTTATCGGCTGAATATTTATTTATTGATTAATCACGTTACTCTGATGATAGTGTTCGAGACAGCCTATATGTTCAAGACAGCCTATATGTCTGAACTCGATCCTTAGAGTAGTTACGGAGCCTTCTCTTCAATATTGTTTCCACATAACGAGCATTTTGCGCTGCTCTTTTCCAATGTGGAAGCAGAATGTACGAAAGCATACAGCAGGATGCGGGGTGTGTCTCTCGACATCTTTAGACTGGAATAGCGGGGCCCACTCGCCTCGCAAGTGCACACGCCAGGACAGAGGACATCAGACTCCAGAGAAAACTTGCTCGAGTCCAAGTCCGAGTCATCATTACCTGTGTCCGAGTCCAAGTCAGAGTCACCCAAGGAGTGTCCGAGTCCACGTCATCATTATCTGTGTTCGAGTCCGAGTCCAAGTCATCGCGTGCGAGAATTCACGAGTCCGAGTCGCGTCAATCAGTGCGCGAGTCGAGTCACGAGTCCCGAAAAATCGGCACTCGAGTACTCCATCTCTGGACCAAATCCATTGAGTTTCAGTGTTTCAACGTTGTTTTGCTACATGTAACTATGGATTAGTTTTCAACATAAAGAAAATGGTGCGAGTTGTCTGTGAAGTTGCACAGAGGCACAGCAGTTTTAACATGATAATTATGACATTACTAATATGTTGTTAGATACTGTTGAACATGTTCACCAACTTAGTTTAGTGGGCTAGCATTTCTTCTTAAGCACTAAACACAAATATCATCAAATGTGTTTGGACAAAATGATGGAAAGAATAGTTTTTTGATGGGAGGATGTTGCAACTTTTACGGGTATTGCATTCGTCGATCATGAAGTCAAGGGTTCATGAAT